TCTCTCTCACGCATTATATCGAATTATGTTATAAATATGAAATATATTTGGTAGTAGCAAATACGTGTGAGCATGCCAAAATATGATATGGCACAATATTATGGAATTTTATTCCATGTTCGTGCACTGCCATGCAGTTTTCTAGCATGACTGTTGAAGAAATCTGTATGGACAGAGAGAGAGAGAGAGCTATTACCATGTGAACCATGTGTTCTTTTTACGCTCATATTAGTAATTAATTATTGATTATCAAATCGCCAACAATAAATATTTATGTACTTGTACAGCAAAGTCATATTACTCGTATTACTCGTGTAGCGCATCCAGGAACGTCAATGGACCTCAGCAAATGAAAGTCAGCATAACCAACCGTTACACAACATTATCGTTGCATAATTTCCGCTAATTTGCGATAAAATGTGGCAGTCAGCCTCACCCATCTCTCTCTCTCTCTCTCTCTATCTGCCCTTTGAGTCCAGCCTGTCGTGGAAGTTGCCAGCTGTGCGGCTCATTTGCTGGCTCATGAACAGGACGCTCGCATAATGAGCGGTCAATAAATGACTCATAAATGTTCTATTAAATTTGTGCAACAATGGGATGCCGTCAAAATACACATTCCTATAGATTGTATAAACATTCGTTTGTCGCCTCAACTATCGTAGTAAGCAAAATCAATATCTGGCTAGCGAATTTCAAGTCAGCTGAGACTGAGCAGAGCCATTCAACGCCGAGTGGAGGTTCTTAGAAATCGAGGCTACAGGCAACTAGCAGAGTCCAATTCCGAGCACCAGCCGCAGCCTCTAATAACATTTTGTGCCTGACAATGAGGTTGAGTCTTATCGATTCTGTTGCATATTTTTAAGGGCCTGCTGCAATTTGGGTCGTGACTCTTGGAGTGCTACAATCTTTGAGCTTATATTTTATTCATTCAATCAAGGGCACCTTTTTTTCGAGACTGCAATCCTAAGTCATGTTTACATATTTCTTTCTTTTGTGAAATATGTTAATTATTATTTTCTTCTCTTTTTATGCCGTAGACTCGTTAGTTTTTGCTATGCGCTGGATCCACAACATTTTCGCTGAATCTTGTGCAAGCTCTAATTTATGTAGCTGTCACAGCTGGGAATATTCTGTGGGCTGAGCAACAGTTCTGCGTTCCTATTGTGCGAAATTAAAAAATAACAAGAACAAGAAGAATGCTTTAGTTGTCATTGAACTACCTCGTGATACCCTGCATTTTGATGCAGAGCTACAATTATTATAGCTCAATATAAAATACATACATACACATACATATATATGCAATAGTATAGCATATAGGCCACACAAACCATATAGAATAGTACAGCATATATATATATATAGGGTATACAAATGCGCAGCAATAAAAGTAAACAAACAACTAAAATACGAAGCAATTTTTGTAAGTCGTCCTTGACTGACCTTGCGCATTGCAGCTGAACGGCGAGCTATGCTCATTATGCTCCCCATTTCAGCTTTTTTGGTTGGGGTTCTCTTCTTCGTTCTCTCCGTGCTGGGAAAACGTCAAGTTTGCGCTTGGTTTTTTAATGGTTGCAATCAAAGTTTCAATGCATTGTTAAGAACATGCGGCGCGCACTCAAAAAAGCCAAGGCGAAACACAACTCAGTCGTGCGTTTAACATAACTACATTGTGCATGTGGAATATTTTCATAACAGAGATCTGAGATAGGCTTGCCGGATGGGAGTGAAGGAGCGAACCCTTTCAGTAGTCTACATGTGCAATGCTGTGTCTCCTGCGAGTGCCAGACGCTGTGTAAACTTAACGTTCTGATTTAAAGTTTATGTGTTGCAAGTTTTTTATTTGTTATGCGCGCAACAATGAACAAGTTTGTTCCATGTGGTAATTAGAGGCGAATTTGGAGAAGCTAAAAAAAAAAAATAAGAAAAACATAATGAAAATGTTTGAAAGACGCTAAGGAGGCCAGGGGCGTGGCCATGCCAAGCAACTGCAAAATGAGACGAATGAATGAGAATATAATAGTGAAGGCAAAATAAAAGGCAGCAGCAGGGAATGCGAGTCACAGTTTAATTTCATCACGAGAGCTCAAGATGTTCCTCGCATGTTGTTGTTGTTGTTGTTGCGTCTTGCCCTTGTTGTTGCTCTTGTTCTTGTTGTGCCGAGTTAGCGGGATGTGGGTGTGGTGTAGGTTGGTAAGCACATCAGCAAAATGCCTGATGATATAATAAAATGCCAAATGTGCTCACATTATTCAAATGTCATGATAGTCTGTAGAAGACACAGCACACAAGTATCCCCTATACGTACATATACAAATACATGTGTGCATTTCTAGATGTGTGTGTGTGTGTATGTGTTATATTTAACAATATATAGAGTAAAAGATATATAGTGAAAGTTGCATAGATAAGTAGACTCTCGGCTTCCTAACATATAAGCCATTCAGTCCTCCTTTAGCTTCCACTTTATGCTTATTAGCAAATCCAGGCATACATATGTATGCATGTGTGTATGTATGCATGTGTGTAAATACATTTATTTTCCCTGATGGCCATTTGTCAGCTCGATACTGTAAACAATCTTTGCCTTACACTACTCTCACATCGCATGGCAAAGCCACAAGCGAAGCAATTTACTGCATACTTGAAACTTTGCCGAATGCTTCGTAAGCCACTGCAAATGGCTGTCAACAACGAGGCTGTAAAATATTTAATTTTAAATCAATGTTGCCTTTGTGAATCGGGTCTGTAATAGTACTTACCATATGCCAATAATTGTGGCATTAATTTTTGATTTCCATTACAGAAGAATTTCAGCTGGAAGCAAAACTTTCACACAGAACACACATATACGAGTATGTTAATATACTTACATACTGATATTAGTATGCCAGAATTTAGTTATCGACGCAGTTCAACATTTTAGTTCACTTGCAAATTCTCATACACACCTGCTTACAAACATATAAAGGACTGATCTCTCCTTCGATCCCACACACTTGCTTACATGCATGCATACATGTACACATACAAACATTTGAGAGAGCAGTAGCACAACATAAATGACCGATGCACGTATCGGTTCTCTCTGTCGAGCTCATAAAGCGAGAGCATCGGGTGTCTCGCTCGATCACACGAGCGAGCATACCTCGCTAATAACTGTCGACTGTTGGACGATGTCTGCAAATAAATGCCTTTTACTCATTCCCGCACTCAGAGAGCAACCGATTGCATTGATTCTTTACTGAGTTCATTTGCGAGCGACTAGCAACAGTCTTTTTGTTGTTTTGTTTCGCTTTTTTCCTTCCCTAGCCTGTGAGTGTATGCGTAAGTGAATGTGACTTTTTGATTTACTCACATGCAAAAATTTATTTAACAGTGCGTCACACGATTAGTTCATAGTAAGGTGCTCAGAGCGACTGACTGCCAAGTGTCATAGTAGTGTTTCGAGGGAGAGTGAGAAAGTAAGAGAGAGCGAGAGCGAGATAGTAAGCTGATCGAATACAAGTTGAGTGACATTTTTATGTTGAATAAATTTGTTATTAATGTGGCGTAACATTGTGCTGTATGGTTAATTGTTGCAATCGTCAATGGGAATATTTCGAGAGAAATGTACATACAATATATTAACGAAATTGCATTTTAATAATGTCTCTTTAATGTCAAATAATGGAAGTTAAAATATTACTTACCTCAAGTACTTAATACATTAGCTTGTAAGCTGAAAATTAAATTCGACTTAAATTTAAATCACTACGATGGACAACAACAAAGGAAATATTTAAATTGTTTTATATGCACATTTATTTGTCCTGGAATTTCTATTCACTTTGGTGTAAGACGTGCGAAATGATAAAGTGGGTTTGCCATTTGGATTGGGGTCGAAGCCTTTACGAGCGCTGTTGGCTCCGCTTCACACAGCGCTTTGTTTTACACACACACCCACACAAATATATACATGCATATACTTATGCAAGGAACCTGTACATGTAATAAAATGTGTGAAGTGGTATGTGTGACAAGGCATAAATAACTAAACACCTGCAGAATCTGCGCGGAGGGCACGTGGGAATGGTGGACAGAGTTGGGGCAGAGTTGGGGCACGGGCTCCACCATCGTCTGCTCCTTTTCTGTCAGGCACGTCTGAGTTGTGGCGTTATAAATTACGCAGGGCTCGTCTGCCATTGCTTAGAGCATTTGTCAATATATATCTTTCGCCGAGCGAGACGAGGCGCTGAGATTTGGCGTGCCAAATATTTTACCAACCAATAATCCCGCCTGCGATTCGACCCTAGCGTTAACCAACTAAATATAAATATATAAATAAAGCTTTAAGTATTCCGTAAGTAGGTCCATAAAGTTAAATTAAATAATTATTTATTGTAGCTCATTCAAGTAATGAAGCACAGAGTTTGTCGAATATTTTCGGGAATACGCCAAAAGGACCATTTATTTTTATTCTCAATAGCAGATGAACTTGTCATACACAAGAGAGCGCAAAAACATATGTAGAATTTTTTTTATAATTTTGAAATAAAAATGTATTGAAATTTTAAATTTCATAAATCTGTGCAGTTTCTCTCTTTACTATTTAGAAATATATAATCTCTAATGCGATAAATTGTGGCACCATAAGCATTCCGAACATAGCGGTAAATTAATCTTTGCTCAACAGTGGCGCCATCAGGCGTCTGTTGGCGGCATCATCTGTTGTGCTTGCGTGTGGTGAAAAGCTTCCCATTCAAAGAGAGCGCTAGCCAGTCAGCTGTTGCTGAGGTAACTGCCAAAGACAACTGTAAATCAATAGTTATTTTATTCAAGCGGATGCAACTGATAAGTGTTCAAGGACAAATCAGAGAAGGAATTATAGAAGAACTATTAATTATGCTCTGCCCTAATATCCCACAATTTTAATAAAGACTATTTACTTAAACTTTAATTTATAATTTTAATTTGAAGATAGTTGTATATATGCTGTGTTGTATAAAATACAAATAAAAACGACTTGGCCTCTCAATTTAATTTCAATGCCAACTGCTACGAGCAACGTTTGTTTGCTCGCACACACGCTCTCTTTCAGCTCGCGCTCCGTCACTCTCTATCTCTCTCTCTCTCTCACTCTTTCTCTTTTGGTGCGAGCTTTCGTCAGCTTTGATTGATGCAACGTGGCTCTTGCAGAGCTTCCACTCTCTTGCAGGACTTGGAGCGAAGGAAGTGATTTGCTGTTCGCTGCTGTTGCTGCCAGTTGATTGGCAACACGTTTGCCGGAAGGTAGCCAGCGCAGGCAACAGGAAGCCAGCACGATTGTTAATATAATTCACGAATCGTTTCGTTATGCTTCGCGAAGTTTTCGTGTTGCCTCTGTGTGTGAGTGCTTGAGCGTGCGAGTGCCCGAGTGTCTTGGTGTGTGAAATTAATGAAACTATCAGAAGATTTAATCGCAGCAAATGTTCGAGTGCTCGAGTTTTCGAGTTTCGACGAAGTGAACCTAGAGCGCTCCACCGATCCCACAGCCCAAGCCAACTTGTTGCCATGAGCCAATGAAAGGACAGCCCGTTTAGCTCTGATAAATGTGAACCTGTTGCCTATTCGAAGTGAGGCGAGCGGAATTAATGCTAATTACAAATATTTGTTCAACGATTTGTTCTTTGGCCGAATGCCCAATGTTCGTCAATTAAGAGAGCTTGTCCAGGTCCGTAGCCATGGAACGTGCCACAGGGCAGAATGGAAATGTTGGACAGACAGACGACTAAATTACATTAAACATATTTAAATTGCAATTACGTAACCCGAACAAATATCCAAAAAAACAGAAAGCAGCAACAATAATACGAGGACTGCTATAAATCTGAGAAGAGCAGTCAAATGGGTCTGCCAACACCTAAGCCCACACACACACACACACGCACAAAGATAGATACACACGCACACACACACACACACACACACGCAGACACAGACACACGGTACACAAAGCGGCGTGTTGCCAGACACACCCCGGAAATGCCCAGCAGTCACCTGACCCACAGACCCAAAGGCAACTTTTGTAACCAGCTACCAAACAAAAACAAAAGCGGATTAACACTTTGCCCCAATGATGATGATATGGAGCACGGGGCCACGTTAACCGTGCCCCACGGCGCCCATAGCGTCGGCCCCAGCGCTTGCTTTCGTCATTTTTTATACGCCCTGGGCGTGGCACGCTCAAATCAAGCAGCCCCGTCAGCCCCGTCAGCCCCACGAGCCCCGCTTGCCTGTTCTGACCCTTTTTTGGCTTAGTCAATCTATTTGGGCAACCCTTTTTGGGCAAGCGGTCGCAGCGTGTGGCTAAATACAGTTTCAGAATATTACACCAGTCTGCAAAACTGATTATTTGCATAAGATAATTTGCAAACAAACATATTCTGATTACAATAAATAAAAGCTATCGCCCGGCCCAGACATACGTCACAATTAGTTATCAAGGCCTGATAACATTTTTTGTGCCCATTTAACTTATTTTGATGGCTTCTCCTATTCTGTACCAGCACTAAATATTGATTTTCAGCCAAGAATAACTGAAGTTTTGTCTATTTTTTGTGGTAACTTGTTTATTCTTCTTCTGATACTCAGCGTTAACTATTTTCGTTTTGTCAATAGGGACTATAAATAAATTGATATTTCCATATTAACAAAGAGCTATATAAAAAGAGTAGATATATTTCATTACAGAAATTATGATGTATAAGTATAAAGTTTTTAGCATTATTATATAAAATGCTGACATAACATAAAATTATGTAGTTTAGTAAATTGATAGAAATATATATTATATAAAATAAA